TATATATATATATATATATATATATATATATAAATAATGTGATAATTATAACTGCATTACTAAGAATTAAAATGTTAAATTTTACTCCACCCACACAGCTGAACATTTTACTACATGTACTTACTAATGCACTTTACTCAAGTTAGATACCCTCCTAGGGATGTGACCCTGTGCCCCAGTGGTTTTCCACGGCCCATATCCAGCAGCGCTACGGCACACCAGTGTTGTTATAGTTTTCATTTGTTTATTTAGTTTGTATTTTATATTCAGTTTTTCAGTGTGGTTTTATTAGTCTTCTGTGTAGTTTCTAGGTATTATAGTTTCAGTTTAAGTTTTAATGATTAAATTTCCAGGGAGAGACTAAAAGTTGCAGAGCTGTTTGATGTTCATAACCTTTAGAGAATCTTACATGAATACAGTGTACATTATGTCCTAATGTCCTGAAAATGAGAAAAACATCTTCCAGGAATCAGGCCAGCCAACTCTTACGCATCTGGCGTGATACTCCCACACTCACGCGAGAAATCTTACGGCAAATCTGTATTATTCCATTATAAACCTAAAATTAGCCACATCAGAAGTGTTGGGGTAGTTTGCAAGCCTTATATGTAATAAAACTGTTACATACATGTAAATGTGTGTGCCGACTTGTCTCAAATTGAAAATCTCATGCCAGACAGCTGACCAAAGTTGACAACCCTGAAGTATTATTAAGGTTTAAAAATAACATTTGGAGAGACTAGTAAAATTAACAGTCAACTGATTCGATTATGCAAAAAACATACAAATTTATTCCAAACTGTAATCAGCGTGTAACTGTCCATAAAATAAATTTCTAAATAAAATGGAACACTTGTGCTGTTTCTGCCAGTAGCCAATGGGGCGGTAGCTAGGAGTCAGCTAGCTACCACAATACGTCGCTTTCTAAGGTTCAAGTGTATTAAAGGGAATGTGGCGCCATCTATCGGTGATATATTGAATTACATTTCCTCAAATGACTTCCGTCAAGGAGGAATGATAAACAAATCATTACTTTAGCCAAGTAGTGTTTAAAAACAATAACGGAAAGTATTTGACATTTGTTTCTATTCTATTGCAATTCATTTCTAAATACCAGGGATGCCCCGGTTATAGCTGTTTAGTTGTAGATTTTTCTTTTCATATCCTATTTTATTTCAGTTTATGAAAAATGTTTTCTTATAGATTTAGTTGTCATCAACAGTGATCATGCTGCTTCCCACTTACTTGAGGAGGCCGTGCCAGTAGAGGTGAGGCATCAGGTTGGCCTTCATGTGGTACATGATTCTGCTCTCCTTGCCCTGGTCAATGGGGAAGGTCTCCAGCGGCTGCCCGTTATAGTCAAACTCAGCCAGGATAACTGTATTGTAGCTTGTGACCAGCGGGCAGGACGTGTAGCCATCATACTGCAGGAGATGGCAGGTAAAACAGCAGGTTAACACCAGAGATCTGCGTTTAACACGCAGTATAATCCTGCACAGCTATTTGAACTTTTCAGCATCATTGGAAATTAATTTAAGAGCAGTTGTTCTACTCTGGAAGCTCCAAACAGGCAATCCGATTGGTTATCTGCCTGAAACCCACTCCCCTGCTTACCTTCTTATCTGGGAGGATGTCCCTCATTACTCTGGAGATGGTTCTGTCCAGAACAGCAGACTGAGCAGCTGTGAAAGAAACACTTTCATGTAACATTTCGGACCAAAAACAACTTAGAAAACCACAAACATTTATTAGGGGTTATTCTGCTCTAATTATTCAGTAATTATATTTGATCAGCATATAATCAACCAAGTGTTTTCAATTGTTGTGAATGTTTTTTTTCCCCAAAAAGTCACGTATAGCACAAGGTGCAATAAATGCAATGTATAACCTGATCCCCAAAGCTGGGAATTGTTTGAAAAATGTTTTTACTCCAACCGCAGGTAGGGGGTGCTCTTATCATTTGCGGGACTCTGAATGCATTTGCAGCATACAAAACAGTCATAGGTCCAGTCTTTCAGAAAACTCTACAGTCCTATCATGTGCTTGCTTGCTGCACAGAAATTCTGGTTAAAGCAACAGATACATAGAGACCATGAACTTTGTTTCTGTGTTCAGAGGATGTGGAAGGCAGTGGACGATCAGCGCTGCACAGGCATTAAGATAAGCCGCTAATCTAACGTCCAGCTCCGCAGTCCTTTTGTGATGAAAAAACGCTCACCGACAGCTGCGGCCGTCTTTGACGTGGGAACGTTGGTGCAGTCGCCGATCCCAAACACGTTGGGGTACCTCTTATGCTGAAGCACATCTTTGTCTACGTCCAGCCAGCCAGCCTGGTCTGCCAGTGGGTTGCCCTTTAAGACCTCGGGGGGTCCCATCGGGGGGGTCACATGGAGCATTTCGTACTGTGGAAGGCAGACACAGAAATAGTGCTGAGGCGCTGTCACTTTCCAGGTTCAGCTTCTGAAGCTCCCGGAAGGGTTTCCTGCCAGTATGACGTAGTCTTCAGAATGTGGGTTTCATGCACAATGCACCCTACCCTGCCCGACCTGGAGCCTCCTGCTTACTACGCAATACTTCAGGTTACGAAAGCCATTGTATGCCTTTGGCTCAGGTGGCTGTTTTTGTCATCTTTCAATCTCCAGTCTTGCTGAAGGCCTATTTTGGCTATAATGTGTACATAATTGCTATTGATGTTGTAATTGTAACTAGTTGTGTTTGCCTTCCTGTGTGGTAAAAAAGGGCAAAAAAAACATGAACAACCATCTTTTATATTAACATCCATTCACCCATCTCCTATGGCTTACCCTGATCAGGATGAGGGGGTCCTATCCCAGGCAGCAGAGGGCACGGGGCTGGGGGGCACCCTGGATGGGATGCCAGTTTCTCACAGGACACGTACACAATCATACACTACGAGCACGGATTGGCCTAATTTTTTGGACTGTGGGAGAAAACCAGAGTGCCCAGAGGAAATTCCCATAACACGGGAAGAACATTGGGAGAACACGGAAAGAACACAGGGAGAACATTGGGAGAAGACGGGATAAACATAGGGAAAACACAGGGAGAACACACGGTAAACACAGGGAGAACATGGGGAGAAGACAGGGAGACTATTTAAACACACACACCCAGGGCAAAAGCAGGATTCATATCCCCAGCCTCATACCTGTGATACAATAGTGCAGGGGTGGCCAGTCTTATCCAGAAAGGGCCGCTGTGTATGTGGGTTTTTGCTGCAACTCCCTAATTAGATTGCTAATTAGATTGCTAATCCTTTGTGCAAGTAGAGCACACTGGGGATAAGTGGCACTGACATCAAACAGAACGGGAAAGCTGTGTGATTGGATGGATGGATGGATGGATGGATGAATTTGGCACATGAAAAAAATCAACCTGCATCATA